ACTGTAGTGCAGGTGTAGAGAGGGGTTCACACTGTAGTGCATGTCTAGAGAGGGGTTCACACTGTAGGGCAGGTGTAGAAAGAGGTTCACGCTGTAGGGCAGGTGTAGAGAGGGGTTCACACTGTAGTGCAGGTGTAGAGAGGGGTTCACACTGTAGTGCAGCTATAGAGAGGGGTTCACACTGTAGTGCAGGTGTAGAGAGGGGTTCACATTGTAGTACAGGTGTCGAGAGAGGGGTTCACACTGTAGTGCAGGTGTAGAGAGGGGTTCACACTGTAGGGCAGGTGTAGAGAGGGGTTCACACTGTAGTGCAGGTGCAGAGAGGGGTTCACACTGTATTGCATGTCTAGAGGGTGTTCACACTGTAGTGCAGGTGTAGAGAGAGGTTCACACTGTAGTGCAGGTGTAGAGAGGGATTCACACTGTAGTGCAGGTGTAGAGAGAGGGCTTCACACTGTAGTGCAGGTGTAGAGGGGCGTTCACACCGTAGGGCAGGTGTAGAGGGGTTCACACTGTAGTGCAGGTATAGAGAGGGTTTCACACTGTAGGGCAGGTATAGAGAGGGGTCCACAGTGTAGTGCAGGTGTAGAGAGAGGTTCACACTGTAGTGCAGGTGTAGAGAGGGTTCACCCTGTAGTGCAGGTGTAGAGAGGGGTTCACACTGTAGTGCAGGTCTAGAGGGGGTTCACACTGTAGTGCAGGTGTAGAGAGGGGTTCACACTGTAGTTCAGGTCTAGACTTTGGATGAGCGGGTAACTCTTTTTAAAATATGCCCTCTGAGGACCTGGTAAATCAGATGTCCAGCAAGTCAATTTTCTTACAATTTATTTGATGTGTGTGAATGTTTTGCCTGGTGTACATCTGTGCACTACACACCTGCTTAGCATCCTCAGAGCCAGAAGATACCACCTCCTGGGACTGGAGTTACAGCTGTTTGTGAGCTGCCATGTGGGTGTTGGGAACTGAACCTGGGTCCCTTGTAAGAGTTAAAAGTACTTTTTACTGCTGTGCTTTTCAGTTTTCTTATAGCTCACACCAAACTTCTCTGCACGGTTAGGATAAGGCTGTGTCTTGTGTAAGCCCGTTGTGGCACATTGCTGAGTACCTGTCTCTAGAGGTTAGCCAGGGATCTCACCAAGATTATGTCTGCTGATTGAGGTGTGTGTGTGTGTGTGTGTGTGTGTGTGTGTGTGTGTGTGTGTGTATCTGCAGTGGTGCCTGGTGCATTTTCTGATGTACCCTTATCTATTTGAAGATTAGAGCTAGAAAAATGGAGGACATTTGCCTTCTCTTCTTGCTGAAATGCCATTAACCAAGGACAGTGAAGCTAATATCATAGGGAGAGACTGAAAATGAAACACTACATGTAGAGCCCTATGGTGGTTTGAAAGAAAATGGCCCCCATAGGGAGTGGCACTATTAGGAGATGTGGCCTTGTTGAAGTAGGTGGGGCCTTATTGGAGGAAGTGTGTCACTGTGGGGGCGGGCTTTGAGGTCTCCCGTGCTCCAGCTACACCCAGTTCAGACCACTTCCAGTTGCCTGCTGGTCAAGGTATAGGACTCTCAGCTCCTTCTCCAGCACCATGTCTGCCTGCATGCCATCATGTCCCACCATGATGATAATGGACTGAACTTCTGAAACTGTAAGCCAGCTTCAATAAATGTTTTCCTTTATAAGAGTTGCTGTGGTCATGGTGTCTCTTCACAGCAACAGAAACCCTAAGACAAGTCTAGAGGAAGTTCATTCCAGGACATTGTCTGACCCTCTCCTTAAAGTCATGTATGCTCAAGATGCCTACAATTCCATCTCCCTCTAGAAAGAATAGGATATAATTTCTTTTAACCCCTCTGGGGTCTTTTGTACCAGACTTCCTATGATGCCCCTTTCAGGTCCTTCCTGTGGGGTGTCTACCCACCAACTCCACAGTTCCCCAGAGTTTTCTTGAGTGTGAGTAGCAGGAAATATTAGATAGAAGGATTTAAATTATGGAGATAAACAGAAAATACAGGACAGCCTTGAGAGGGCCTGGAATCTATTCCAACGGGCCCTGACTGTCTCTGCTCTAGGGTTTTTATAGAGATGCCTAGGGGTGGAGCAAAAGACCTCCTCCCCCAGCACAGCCAAGTGCAGACCATCCCAGACACCTGCACTCAGGCCCGTGGTCCAATCATCCTCTCTATGCAGACCTGCTGGGTAAAGCCACTAGGAACCTGAAAATGGGCTCCCAGGCCTTCCTAGATCAGAAAAAGGAGCTTTTAAATACCTGGAACATCTTTGCCAGTGGATGATGAGCTAGCCCTGCCAACTTTCCCAGACCACTTTTCCTCCTGTAGGTCACAGCCAAAAGACCAGCGCCACAGAGAGGCCTCATCCCACATTCCTGGTAAAACTGATTCCCAAGAACTCCTTTCCCTCTCATATTCTGTGTCCCATCTCCCCCACCTCCCACCTTCCCCTCCCCATTGTCTTCACTTCCCATCCACCACCTCCCTCCTTCCCCTCCCCATTGCCTTCACTTCCATCTCCCCACCTCCTGTATCCTCCCTCTCCTCTCTCCCACCTCTGGCCTGCGGAATACAAAGTACAGGCTGTACCCCATGCCTCACTAGAGCACATGCCTCCCTCGTGCTGTGCACGGGCTGGTGAATCGGCTGAGCAAATGGAGACTGAAGTGAATCTGAGGGAAGGTGATGATTTGCCCCTGGTCTAACCTTCTACCGAGGCTGTCTCCCACCACAGGGATTGGGGTGGTGGCCCCACGTAGGCATTTCAGTTGAGCCAGCAATCCCAGCGTGAGGACACAGGAAATTCAATTGTTTGGCACCCTCAAGTCCGCTTTGGTTTTGTTGTGTTGCTTTTTAGAAGCAAATTTATTGAGAAGGTATTTGTTCAGCAGTAGATAATCCATTAGCTGTCTTAGTCACTGTTCTATTGCTCTGAAGAGACACCATGATCAAGTCAACACTTATTTAAAAAAAAAAAAAACATTTTTGCCACGGACTTGTTTATAGTTCAGAGGTTTAGTCCATTTTCACCACGGTGGCACATATGGCATTGGAAAAGTAGCCGAGAACTACATCCTGATCCACAGGCCAAGATAAAGGACACTGGGCTTGGCATGGGCTTTTGAAACCTCCAAGTCCACCCCTAGTGACGCACTTCCTCCGACAAGGCCACACCTCCTAGTCCTTCTAATCCTTTCCAATAGTGCCGCTCCCTGGTGACTAAGCCATCAAATATATCATCCTGTGGGGGCCACTCTTATTCAAACCACCACATTTGCTAAGTGGTTATTTTGTTTTTGTTTTTTGAGACAGAGTCTCACAGTGTAACCAAGGCTGGGTTGGAATTCACTGTGTAGTCCAGGCTGGCCTTGAATTCATGGCTGTCCTCCTGCCTCAGCCTCCTGAGTGTTGGGCTTACAAGTGTGCACCAGTTGCCTGCTAAAATGGTAGCTCTCACGGAGGGCTCACTCATTTTTCATTAGGGGCACAGCTAATGCCGCAAGCAGGGTGATCACCAAGCATTGCCTCTTTCAGTCGAGGGCTTCACACCCAGATTCCTCCCCAGACAGCATTGTTTCCAGGACTGGCCAGGTGTTTTATGCCAGTGCCTGCCACTAGCTTATGTTTGTTCATAATTCCCACACTCCTTTTCCAGTGTTTCGGTACCACTGAAGCTTGCTTTGCCCCCCTCCCACTGCAGAAGCAGAGTCCAGTGAAATCGGATTTCAGATTCTCAAGGAGCCAGGCATGCCTCTCTGTGCACTGGGACTTGTGTCCTGACACAGTGGACTCAGCCCCAGGACACTGGTGAGACAGAGCTTTATGCTAGGAGAGGCAGGCTTTTCCCTAAGGAAACATTTGCATTTATTCACATACAACCTATATCTGGATAAAATTCCACAAAACAAGTCAAACTCACGTTGCCAATTATCAGATGAAAAAAATGTCATGACCAGAGCCCCAGAAGCCACGGCGCTGTCATGACCCTCCAAACCACCAGTACATCTTCCCAAGGCTCCCCTGAGCGGATTATTTGGGACTTTGCAGCAAGCCCCTCTACCTGCTGAGCCATCTGGCTGGCCTGCTAGTGGCCAGATCTTGAGTAGAAACCTCAGTCTGCTTCAGGAGCATAGAACAGAGAGAGTTCCTGTCTGAGGGAAAAACAAGGCCAGAGAAGCCCAGTGGTCTTCACCACTGAGGACCACTGAGGATGGCCAAGGACTTCCACAGTGCTTGACTGCAGCTGACAGCAGCTGCTGCTGACCTTCATCCCATGCCACCAGAGATTCCTAGAACTGCAAAACAAAACAAAACAAAACAAAACAAAACAAAACCAAAAAACCCTCTGGGCAACTATCACCGAGAGACAGACAAAATATATATAATAAGATATTAGCAAAACAAATCCAACAATATATTCAAACTATTATATGCCATGACCAAGTGGAATTGATCCCTGGTTCACTACATTGTTGTAGAATATTATTTTAAGGTGTGTTACTTCTGTTTATGTTGCATTTGTTTAACTCTGTGAAGCTGTGTTACTGTGCCTGTCTAAAACACCTGATGGTGCACTAAAGAGCTGAATGGCCAATAGTGAGGCAGGAGAGAGGAATAGGCAGGGCTGGCAGGCAGAGAGGGAGGATAAATAGAAGAAGAAATGTGGGAAGAGGGCACTGAAAAGGAGGAGCCAGAGAAGGAGAAGGACATTAGGGGTGTTGGGGTCCACAGAGGTTTCCTAGTGTGATCTGAGCTTGCTTTACCCAGCAGTGCTGCATAAGGGAATGGATTGACCACGTGCGTGGTTACCAGGTGCTTGGAATGGTCTGCACTTGGCTGTGCTGGGGTGGGGGGTCTTTTGCTCCACTCCTTGGCATTTCTATAAACAGTCCTTTAGAAGAGACAGAAGGGGCTGGTGGGTTTTGACCCAGGCCCTCCCGAGGCTATCCTGTGTTTCTATCTGTCTCTCTCCTCTATATTTCTATCTAAATATTTTCCACTTCTCCCTGCTCAAGCGTACCCTGGGGAAACAAGTGGACGCAGGTCCCCCCCACAGGAGCCAGCCACCAGCTACAGAGCTACAGAGTAAAAGTAAGATTTACAGAAGTAAGAGAATGGGAAAAGTCCAGAGGCAAAAGACAGATGGGATAATTTAAGTTAAAGAAAGCTGGCAATAAAAAAGCCAAGCTAAGGCCAGGCATTTATAATTAAGCATAAGACTCTGTGTGGATTTATTTAGAAGCTGGCTGGGGGCCCCCAAAAAGACTAAGAACAATAACACTACATGCAAATCAATCAGAATGATACAATGCCACACTATCATAATAAAATATAAATATTTGCAGAAGTAGTGCTTGACAATTTTTCACATTTATGATAAACAAATTTTAAAAATTTGTATCAATGTTTTGCTAAATGTGTAGCTACACGACATTTAAATACTTATCTTTACCTGTACACTGGTCTGTATAATGCCATCTAGTGCTTCTCAGTAGTTAGAGAAGCCTCATTTAGCCATGAATGACGGCCAAAGCAGAGACTCAATTCATTGAAGGTCTGGGATCCAGAACCTACACGTTCTGACCCTTGCTCTGCTTACACCAAATAATCAAGACTCCAAGCAAGCAACCCTAGCAGAAGCAACACAGTGTGGTTCTTATTACCTATGATTTCGTGTTTAAATATCCATCGGTTCCAACCTATGCATTTATTCAAGAGATTATTTTGAGTAAGAAACGAGGCTCGGAGCTGGAGAGATGGCTCAGTGGTTTGACCTCGGAGGACGAAGGTTTGGTTCCCGGCACCCACTCCATGGCACAACCATCCATGACTATTTCCAGGGACTCGACTGCCCTCTTCTGACCTCTGAGGGCACCAGGCACACAGGCAGTGCATGTACATACACACAGGCACATACATACAGGTGAACACTCATACACATAAAATAAATAAAACCCAAAAAGAAACATGGCAGCGGTGGGATACTGCAGAGGAGAGGGTGCAGTGGATGCAGGCCCTGAACTGGCACACCCACTGCAGTCGTGGACTCTCAGCAGCTGCAGTTACTTGCACTAGGCCTGCTTGCACCGTGCTCACAATCAGGCGTGGGGAGAGGAAGGGCTCATGGGCCCATGCTCCTTACTGCTGAACCTTTGTTTACAGTGGGGCACCCACTGCTGATCCCAACAGGCTCCGACAGGCTGGCTCAAAACTCCTGGTCACAGATGGTCCTCGGGAAACTCAGTGCTCTGCAAAACAAAGCAAATAGAAATGTGAGGAAGATGCATAAGGAAGTGGGATAGACAGGTGGAGGGTGTGTGTGTGTGTGTGTGTGTGTGTGTGTGTGTGTGTGTGTGTGTGTGTTCAGTATGCATTATACGGTTGTCAAAGAAAATTCTGATTAATAAGAATATGTGGGGCTGGAAAGATGGCTTAGTGGTTAAGGGCACTGAGTGTTCTCCCAAAGGACCCGGGTTCAAATCACGGCAACTAACAACTGTCTGTAACTCAAAGATTGACCTGCAGTCAAAACACCAATCCACATAAAATTTAAAAAGTAAATAAAAAATTAAAAAAAAGAATACATATATAATACGGGCCGGCAAGATGGCTCGTGGGCAAAGGCGCTTGCTGTCCAGCCAGACCACCTGAATTTCATCTCTGGGGCTCAGCATGGTGGAAGGAGTGAACTAACTCCCACAAGCTGTCCTCTGACGTCCACATGCCCACTGACCACAGGGACACACACGTGCCCATACCCATACCCACATAAAGCATGTGAACATGTGTCTTCTATGTACAGTTAAAGTAAACAACACCCCCACCCCCTCCCCACCCTCACCCCTAAGGAAATCTAAGGAAAGTTGTTCCCGCCCTTCCACCCCTTGGCAGAAGTGTGTTGAAGAAGCTCTTGGCTGCCCTCTTGTGAACAAAAAAAAAAAAAGCTGCATCGGAAATGAAAGAATTTCTGGGATTGGTTCAGAGCTACTACACCGCCTTCTCAGTGTGTTCTCTGCCTTGTTGTTGAGAGGTGGAGTAGCAAAGAAAACACCAGCATGGCACCCAAAGGTAAAAGCAGACACGCTGGAACACAGCGGAGGCCAGAGGTGACCTGCAGCACGAGGCAGGTAAAGCCCGGTGGAAATGGCGCGAGACTGATGAGAGCAGCTTCAGACCCGAGGCCTGCTCTCTTTAGTCCCCCATCTGTCGCAGACTAGGAAAGACGCCTTTCAGGTGTTCTGTCTCCCACAGATTCCCACAGAACATCTGGGCTGCACCTGCAGACCGATATCCACTCACCCCTACTACTGTAACTACCTCTCTGCAGTTCCTAGATGTAGGGAGTTGGGAAGTTTCTGCATTCAGGGACACGGAGGGTGGGAGGAAGGCCAGACTGGTGCAGGGGGTGTCTGTGGTGGAGCACCTGCTGTTGTCTCTCTGTGTAACTTTAGCACGCATGCCCTTTCTCTGGGACTGGATTCCCCACATACCACAGACTAGAGTTCACCTAGAGCAGGGTTCTCAACCCTAAGAGGGTGTTAGAACCGTGTGGGGCCTTTGGTAGAGATACAGATGCTGATGGTCCACTTAAGACCAATGAAACGCGAATCTCAGTGGGATCAGGCCTGAGTGGCAATCCGTGCATTTAGCCAAGGCACAGTCAGAAATCAAAACAGCCACGCACAAATAATCATGTTAGGTACAGCTGTGTGAGCAAGACGGTGTGGAGTTACTCAGGGAAGAAGACTCGTTCGTAGACCCAGCACGTAAGGACCCTTAATGTGTGGCAAAGGGATACGGTAACACTGCGAAGTGAACAGTGAGTCTTGTAAAGAGATTTCTAGGACCTTGGGAGAGTGCCGGAGCCGGAGCCCTGGATGGATGGCCCTGATGATCCTTCAAGCGATTCCCTCCCACGCTGGTCCATATGAACCAGTGTAAACACCGGGCTGCTGTGGAAATGATGATGTGGAACTTTTGAAGCTAGGTCACACAAACACTGTGACTTCTGCCTGTTGTCCTCTGGGACCTCTTCCAACAAGGGGAGCTAGCTGGCGTGCTGTGAGAGAAAAACAAAATGCAACACCTGACCCCGAATTCACTAAAAACAAGAGAGAATCTGTAAAGGACATTATTGATTTAATTAAGTAAATTGGAGAGCACATAACAGATTAGAAAGAAAATCAAATTTAAATTTGTTAAAGTCGGCAGCTGCACTGTGGTTACATACCAAATCACCGTATCTGTAAGAAAGCTATACTGAAGCATTATAAGAAAAACAACATTATATGTGCTACCCACCCTCAAATAGTTCGGAGAGTAGATGACTACATACAGACAGGAGATGAAAGGCGGCCACGAGATGATCGCGGTGGCATCCAGCTGCAATCTCAGGGAGATTGGGAGGCTGAAGCAGGAGGATTCCAACTTCAAGACTGACCTGAGCCACAGCGAGACCTTGTCTCAAAACACCAAACAACACGGTAAACGCTTAATGATGGTGCATCGGAATTAGAGGTATATGTCTGTGCGTGCATGCATGTGCGTGCACCACCACACCTGGCTCTGAGCTTGTCTTTAATCCCTTTGCACTTGTTGGAAGCTTAGCCGGTGGGATCTTGCCCTGAGGTCATTATTCCCTTTATTCCACTTTTTTTTTTTTGTATTTTGTTTTTGTGTTTTGTGTTTGTTTGTTTGTTTTTCGTTGTTGTTTTTCAAGACAGGAATTCTTCATGTAGTTTTGGTGCCTGTCCTGGAACTCACTCTGTAGCCCAGGCTGGCCTTGAGCTCACAGAGATCCGCCTGGCTCTACCTCCCACGTGCTAGGATTAAAGGTGTGTGCCACCGCCACCCAGCCCTTTACTCCCCTCTTAATCTGTTTATCTCCTTGAACACAGGACTTAGCTCCATTCCACTTCCTGGTGCCCCTTTTGTCCACAATCTGTACATTGTGTATTTTTACTTGCTTAGCTTGCTCCTTTTCATTATAAATCTGTATAAGAGTGACCACTAATAACCACACAAAAAGAGTCTATACTATGCTATTTTGAGATTTTCTCTGACAATGGAATTAATTCAAAACTCTTCACTTTAGCCTCAGGCAGACTTTTCAAACAAGGGCAAAGAGCAGCCACATTCTTCACCAAAATATCACAAGACCAGTTTCTAGGCCACATACCGACATTCTTCTCTGAAACCTCTTGAGCCAGGCTCCCACCGTTCAATCACCCTCAGCTCCACTCTCTTCCATGTTCCTAGTAGGATGGCCCATTAAGCATCGCTTAAAACATCCCACGCTTTCCTAACTCAAAGTCCAAATTCCTACAAATAAAAACATAGTCAGGCCTATCACCGCAATCCCCCAGTCCCTGTACCAACTTCTATCTTAGGGTTTCCATTACTGTGAGAGACGCCATGACCACAGCAACTCTTATAAAGGAAAACATTTCATTGAGGTGGCAGCTTGCAGTTTTAGAGGTTCAGTCCTTTATCATTATGGTGGGGCATGGCGGCATACATGCAGACATGGTGCTGGAGAGGTAGCTGAGATTTCTGCATTTACAGGCAACAGGAAGCGAACTGTCTCACTGGACATGGCTTGAGCGTATGTAAGATCTCAAAGCCTGCCTCCACAGTGACACACTTCCTCCAACCAAGTTAGACCTGCTTCAACAAGGCCACACCTCCTAATCATGCCGCTCCCTGTGGGAGCCATTTTCTTTTAAACCACCAACCACAACATGTAAAATGCTTTTCATATATATGCTGTTCTCACATGTATCATGCTCTCTACATGTATATTGCACTCCACATATATGATCTCGACATGTAGAACACTCTATACATGAATAATGCCTTCTACATGTGTAGCTTTCTCCACATGCATGATGCTTTCCACATGTATAACACTCTTCACATATATATATGTGGAGAGCATCATACATGCGAAGAGTGTTTTTATATATATATATATATATATATATATATATATATATATATATATATATATAATGTTCACTGCTATCTGCCCATTTTCTACTGAGAAGCGAGGCTGCTTTCTCAGGAGTAGAGGTTATGGAGCTTTGACTGGCAATAGGTTCAGCTCCGAGCCTGGCTTGTGTTATGTGAGTTTGTAATTGGCTTTAGTGCTAAAAATCTTGGTTTCTTCACCTTTAGTGGATAACATGAAATCCCCGAGGACCATCGTTGCTTGTCACTGATTGCTCTCAGCACAATGGTCCAGAGCATGAGCCCTGAAAACAGACTATCCGGGGTTTCAATTCTGCTGCTTTCTCTTCAATCGTGGCTAAATTTCTTTATCTGGGTTTCAGCTTCCTTGCGTATAAAAGAATGGGATTATCATGAGGCTTAATAAATTAACTCGCCTGAAGCACCTAGAATAATGGCACACATATTGAAGGGCCGACTCTGTGTTGGCCGCTTCCATGTGCAGCCATTTAACATAAGGAGGATATAGAAATTGCTCACGGGCCAGCCAGAGGGCTGAGAGGGTGAAGGTTCCCGCCATCAAACCTGGCACCTTGGGTTGACCCTGGGAGCCTGCATGGCACAAGGAGAAAACCAACTTCTGTAAGTTGTCACATGATCTCCACATGTGAGCCATGGTATGGACGCACACACAAAATCCATGTCGAAAAATAAAAGTCAATAAAAATCGCTCAAAAGATGACTGTTGTTATTGCTGTAGTTCAGAAGGCCGAGTAAATGATTCACTTCAGAAGCATAAAACGTTGTCCACGGAAATCCTAAGAAAGCAAATTCAGAGTTTCATTCGTAAAGACATAGTCCACAAGTCCTTTCCCCCTTGGGTGATAAGGAATTCGCATTGCACCGTACTCACGGGCCTCCTCGGTGATTCTTATCATCTCAAGAAACTATGCCAGAGATAGCTGGTGAGAGCAGTCTATTCCCAGCAACTCAGATGCTCCCTTGCCATAGAATAAGGAAACCCTGCTGTACGAATCCCGCAGCCAGGCGGGCACAGCTGAGATGCCCAAGGGCTTGAGACTTGGAGTCCGGACTGCACCAACCTTACCACACATCGTTTTAGTTTCCTGGTTCAGCATTTTCTGTAACTAGTGACCTCAAGTGGTTTTTGTTTTTGTTTTTTTTTTTTTAATTAAATCACTTTGTTCCCAAAAGATCTATGTTTTAGACTTTCATTTTAATTTGTAAGTTGGAAATGCCACCGTGCTTTGGGATGGAGAGAAAGGTTTTCCCAGAGGCTGCCTTGAGGATAACAGCTGGCATAAGAAAACCTGAGACACATATTGGAAGTCAGTCATGTTGATGAAATTCTTTGTAAAAACATACAGTAGTGTTGTTGGAAATCTTGGCTTGCCGGTCATATAGAGGATGTTGGCAGCGGGATGAGGGAAGAACTATGACCTCAAAGTGATTACATCCCTTAACCATGCAAATCATTAATTTATTTCCTTGAAATCTCGGGCAATGCCAATCATTGTGGATTCTCCAGTCAGTGAACCTTTGGTAGGATGTCCTGGGTGTTGCTGTTGTAGCACTCCAAGGAGCCACAACTTTGTTTTCTGATACAGGAAACCTACAACTCACTCAACAAAACGAGAAAGCCAATGTAATTCCCACCCATTCCCCAGAAGCCAGAGGACATTTTAACTTTCCATGAACAAAAGAAAAATTATAACTAGTTCAGTGAATCCCCACCACCACCACCGACGCTCTCGGTTGTTACCAAATCCTGCTCCTCTGAGTGTGTGCCAAAGGGAGGCTGTCTGCTCAGCTCTCCCTGACCAGACACCACCACCTTGGTAGGGCACAGGGCCTACTACTGCCTACTTTTGCTATTCTCAGAGCCCACTGGGTATGTTGCCAAATAATGCTGCCTTTGTGTGTGGGGGGGTATATGGTGTATGCCCGAGTGGTGTGTGGGAAGGCACATCCATGTGCGCACGTGAGCGGGGCACAGGCAGATGCAGAATGGTGTTTTCTGTCCCCCCCCCCCCCCCGGGAGCTCTCCGGTTGGCCAGACTGGCTGTCCATAGAGTTTCTGGGGTCCTCCTATCTCTGCCTCCCCTGGGCTAGGATCAGAGGCACACGCTGGCACACCCAGATCTTTACACAGGTGCTAGGGATCCCATGTGGAATGAACTCAGGTCCTCATGCTTCCATAGCGAACAGTTACCCCAGAGCCATCTCCCCAGCCCCAAAGCATGCTGCTTTGCTATCTGTGTTTGGAGTATCGCAATTATCCACCTATGGGACCAACACAGAAGCCATTGGTACCTATTTCTTGGCGCCAGGCCCTTCCTTCGGCGAAGGAACCCGAGTCCCGTTTGTGTGCCAGTGTCTCACTCTTTCTGCGGAGAAAAAGGCAGGACAATCCCACCACCATCCGGATGAAGGTACAAGTGAAGGTCCACAGGAATTGCTATCAGGCTCTCAAACGCTCAAGGCCATGCTTGAGAAAAGGCTGACTGTTCTAGCAAAAGAATGATTCCATTGTAACTGTCGTCTGGCTGGCACCGAGGAGAAGGAGGGCCGAGGTGATCTTGCTTCTCAAGACTAAACTGGATGAAGTTCAGTGTGAAATCAATAAAAGGTTTTTTTCTCTTGGACCATTTCTCTTGACAGATGAAAATCAAAACAAAGGGAGAGTGGGTGATTGCAGGTCACGTGGCCCTCTGGTGCCTGCTTTTAGGACTCCAGGATTAGCCCCGCAGCTGTCCTTTCCTTTGTTTTATTGGGGGGCGGGGTTCATTGAGACCGGTCTTGCCATGCAGCCCAGGCTGGCCTTGCACTCACAGCCCTCTTGCCTCTTTTCTCCACACAGCACTTTTGTTTACGGTAGATGGCCTTGGCTTTGAGAATCACTAGGGATATTGCAGTAGTGTTTGCATCCTCTTCAAATTCACACACCGAAACCTAAGGGAGCAGCATTTGGACTGGGTCTCTGGGAGGTGGCTGGGTTAGTGGCTTAGGAAAGAGCCCCAGAGAGCTCCCTCTAGAGCAGTGGTCCTCAACCTCCCTAATGCTGCGACCCTTTAATGCCTTATGTTGTGACGCCCCAAGCATAAATTTTTCATTGCTACTTCATAATTATAATTTCGCTACTGTTATGAATCGTAATGTAAATATTTTGGGAGATCGAGGTTTGCCGAAGGGGTCATGACCCACAGGTTGAGAACCACTCCTCTGGAGGCCCAGACTGACGGTAATACATGCTATGAGATGGGATTTCTTAGATTGGCTCACACAATTGGAGCTTGAGAGTACCTCAGTGGTTCTGATGGGAGGGAAGGATGCCCACAGTAGCTATTCTGGAATAGAGGTATTCACCAGCAGGAGAAGGCAGGCAGGCAGGCAGGCAAGCATTCTATTTTTTTCTCAGATCTCTTTATGTCTAGGGTGCACCTTACCCCCAACCCTGTCAAAGGTGCTGGACTTCACAAAGACTCCAGGAGGATGTCTCCCTCAGCTAACCCTTCTTGGGAATGCCTCCACAGACCCTTCCGGAAGCATTTCTCTTAGTCACTTCCAGATTCCTTCAACTTGACAAGATTCACCATCACTCCCCTCAACCATCTGAGGTTACAAGGAACCATCCTTGAGCCCAAAGTGGGTCCTTATTCCATACAGAATCTGATAGTACTCTGACTTGGAGTTTTCTTGGTCCCAGGAGAAATCTGGCGATTTTGTT